ATAAAATCTGTACTATTGATTTTTACTATAATACCTCGCATATGTTTGATTAATTAGTATATGAAATACCCCAATGTACCGTGTATGTTGCAATTATTAGTTCTAATAATAGAAGTTTTTACAATATCTAATAATTCAACCCAAATTTAGTCTAGCAGTTAGGGTTAGGGTGGGTTGAGCTAGTGTTAGAGTTTTAATGTGTTAGGGTTGGGATAGAGTAAATGTAAAATTTGCAATAATTGAATAAATGAATTTTTTGTAACTTCATTAGCGGTGCAGTAGTCGTGTGTCTTATAATAAACTGCTACATGTACAATAAATATATTATTTTCACATTAAGATTACAATAGTCGTGGCTACAAATTTACTAACTCATTATCATATCATCTGCTATATCTAATTCTGCAAATATTCAACCAGATTAAAAAACTCACTGGACTAAAGCGACGATTATCTTGTAAATCCATAATAAAATAATATAAAAGAAATTCAATAAAATTAATATAGAAAGAATTATCTTAACCAACTTGGAATTTTTTATTGCATAAACCATAATTACAAATAATACGTAATACATATAGTTTTTTGTGTACCGATAAAATACGTAATATTATTTTATTTCCTTTATATAAAATATATCATGAACCCGAGTTGTTTTTCAATTTGTGGAGATTGAAAATAGCACATGTGAATTCATAATCAACAAATTTCAAAAACAATGCGTAACATATATATTATAAACTTAATATGCTTAAACAAAATTCCACATGCAGTAAATTCTATAAATTCATAAGACACAAATTTTATTTCTTTCTAAATACCCATAAATTTGTAAAAATAATCTTTTAACTTAGCGGTAACGATTGTTTAAATTACTATGATTTCCTCCTTCTTCATTAACCCATTTTCTAATTTCATCCTTTGTTTTTTGTTGCGGATTTTTTGTCTTACGTTTATAAAAATTACGAACAGTACCTTTGCATATATCAATCTTTGAGGCTATTTCATCAAAGATTGAATTGAGAGAACGATCTTCGCTTGCTTGTTTTTGATCAACTAAGGACTTAAATACATTCCAGAGTGTTTCTTCATTAGAATAATCTGGGTACTGTCTTGTGCTTGTACGATTTGTGGTTGAAAACTGATTTATATTTGTAAATGGATTTAAACCTGCTAGTAATAAATCATATTAAAATTAGCTTAATATATACTGGCACACGAGTTAGAGATAAATATAATCACATGATATACTTTGAAATATATCAGCTTCATGTATTTCATTAACTTCATCACTAAGATCCAATATAGCTCTTTCATTTCTTTCATTTTCAGTTTGAAATGTTTCCCGCTCATTTTCAGTTTTGGACGTTTCACGTATTCTATTAATTTCGTTACATATCTCTTGGGTTGCTGAATTGATTTTTGGCCAACGAGTAAATAGACATACAAAGGCAAAATAAAGGAACTTTATATTTTCATACAAAATGCTTTTGATCATTTCCAATGTTGAGGTTAATTGAAGATTATCGTATATTAATGCTAAAGTAATTAATAGCATTAACAAACGAACATCGGACAAACAAACACTGAGTTTGTTGAAATTGGGGGACACTTCAAGAACAAGGAACCCAGTGATCATCACATCACGTGAAATTATGCAATGACGTCATTGTTTACTAGCACTAATAAATCGGCCTAAACTATACCATCACCTAAGCCTAACACTAACCTTAACTTAGGCCGGAGTGTTAATCATGTGATGTGATGAACACGAAGATGTCACTGGGTTCCTTGTTCTTGAAACTTCCCGAAATTAGATAACATTTTATTTGTTTTGCAGTATGTTTATGTTTATAATGTTTGTTTTAATTTTGACTTAGCGATTATTCGACTCTGAATAAAATCTCAAGCGAGAATATTCACCACTTTTATAGGCTTCATGATTCATAAAAAGTAAAAATATTGGCATACACATATACGCAATGCCATTGTAAGAAATTCTTAATGAATATCAATTATTTATTTAAACCTTAATTTTTCAATTTCTTAACTAAACTAAGTTTATACGTAAGCATTCGTGCTACAAGTTTAAATGTTCGTGTCAAGGATTGATATTTTTGTGGTTAGGACCGGTATCTACCCTTTGTATATAAAAGGAAATAGTATCCAGAAAATGTGTATCAAGGCTGGTGCGCCACAATATCTAGAAAGTTTTTGTGCACATCAATATTCGCGCACGAACTTAAATCTTCATATAAAAGGAAATTTTAACTGAAAATCTGGAAAATGTGTACGTACGGACGTACGTACGTACTTACAAGATAGTGTGCTATAGTGGCTGGATAGGATTAGTAAGTTCTCCGAAGAATACGGGGCTCATTAATCAGTCAATGATTTGGTTCATTACAGATTTAATCGCGGAACTTTCGATTTATTGTATAATGTAAATATAGTAAACAATGATAATATCAAACTTCTTGAATTAATGCCACTTGTTCGACTTCATTAAATCATTATGTTAAATATTTTAAGGGGTTTGTGAAAATATGATTCTTTATTATTGTTGATGTAATTTACCAAAAAAATTACTTAAATAATGTTTGCTTACTATTAAATGTTTTTAAACCTGATATAAGATTATTTGATATTTTTTGGTCATGTTTGTGTGCGAATTTTTTAAATGGCTTAGAAGCGACATTCCTTTTTAGTTAAAAAGATCGTGAAATAATTTTTATAAACTCCGCCAGGAGTCTAGACACTTATGCAGTAACGTATCGTGGCATATTCAAATAAGCTTTTTTGGCTTTATGCTATGTTTCCAGTTAGGGTTCGTGGTTATAATCCTTGGAATATCATACCCATATGTAAAATTACGCTCCAGACATTTTTAGTTAGTTAGTTTAATTACTAGTTTTTGAGTATTTTCGTTTTTTTCTTTTTTTGCGCACGTGTTTTGTTTTGACGTCGGGCAATCTTTAAATACGCAACCACAGCGTCTAGTACAAAGTGCATTGTTTTTTGCGGCATGAACAACTTTTAGCCGTACAGATTGCTCTACTACAATCACAACTACTACTTTTGGGGCTTTTTCGGTTTTGCTTGTATGATTTTTTGGTCTTGAATAAATGAATTGTCTTCATTATTTTGTGTTGTTTGTATTGGGCGTATTAAGTTTTGCTGAGCTGCAGCATGGCTTTCTATACCCGCGTACAAATAGAAATTGCCTTATTATAATTATAAACAATTAAAAGATGAATTGCATTTGTATTATTATCATTTATATTAGATTTGATGCATGCTATTGCTATTTTCCTTTTTATTTCAAGAGTTTCTTTGTAGTATAATAAATTATTTATTTATATTTAATAGTGTTCATTATGTGAGTACGATTCTATAAATTTAGAAAATAAGATAACTAGGAATCGGGAACCCATATAAGTCGGGAGCATTACCGTATTTGGTAATATCCCTGACTGTACCAGTAATCAATTGTTGTTTTCAAAATAGTTTTGTAATCACGCGTCACGCGGAGGGACAGGCAAAAAATTTCGAAGTTACGTTATTGATATGTTAATTATAATAATTACGTTAATGCATCAAAAAGAAACGTTTGATG